TTGGGCCACTTGGACCACCTGTACCACCTGTATATCCACCACCACCTCTCTATCCAGAACAGACTGGCGGGTCTTTCGCCACAGCTTCCGCAGGATCAATGGATGGACCAATCGGCGAACAAAGTTACTCGAACGCACAGAGTGCTAATTTCAACGTCGGGCCGTTCTCTGCATCCTTTAGCAATGCTGACGCCTCTGCGGATAGTCAGATATTTTAAGTGATTCAAGGTAATTATTTATCTCCTGCGTAAAGATTCATTTTCATTAACACATTTTCGTCGACTTAATTCGCATCAAGCAGAGAGGAATTCATTCAATTATTGTTTGTTTTAACTTGAACCTGGTCTGATCGTAGCATCCTTTCCTTCCCGGAGATTCTTTGAAAGATATCAATATTTGAGGTTTACATTGAATATTGAATGTTCAATACTTAATATTCAATCATGATTCAATACTTAGTATTCAGTATTCAATATTCGATATTCTATATTCTATATTTAATCAATTTAAGCAATAGAAATCATTACTAGATTGTGAATTTTTATGCATTTACATTAGAAAATTGCAAGTTTACGGTTGTAAGAAATATACGTAATATGAAAGTATATAAAAGATATCCGCAAAATTATGGTACAGCGGCTTGATGTGTACAGGCAAAAAGTATTTTTGCTTGTAGAATCACATAGTTATTTGTGCCTGTATAAAATATATAAATATTCGGGTAACATAATAGGTAAAATAATTTTCTACTTAGATTCTATTTATTTAATTATATTCTCAGAAAATCCATAATATAATTACAAATGCCGTTGGAACGTATTATGTATACACTAGATGCTCTAATTACAAAATGGTGTACTCAGCTAAGATACAAAATGCTGTCGTTTGCTTCAATTTTATGTGAATATTGATCTTAACTCTGCTGTACCTGAGAATCACTTGTCTATAGTTGAAATCTTTTAAATTAATTGAATTTTAAAATTTTACCAATTAGTTTGTTAACGAGTGCATAAATAATTGAATACCAAGTGTAATTCCATTAAAAGATTTAACATCTCTCTACTGTTAATTTTACATTCTGCCATAATTCAGATTAGATGCTCTACCAAGTTTAACATGCCTGCATCATTCAAGTTTCATAATTATTTTTGATAAACAGAATACTTTATAAAATCTGTACAAACTTTTTCAATGTCTCTAGAAACACACATCTCAATCGTTCTAATCTTAACAATAGACACATTTAAAGTCACTCCGTAGACAGTCTAGTAATCTTAAATTATTACAATATTAACTATTAATATTAATATTTCACATATGTCAAGATAAAATTAAAGAGATTCGTTTGAATCGTACTTTAGAAGTGTCCAAATACTCATGGTGTCACAGTGTATGTTGTTGATTCTGAACTCTTCAACATTATTTTTTTTTTTTTACTTCTGTCTTTTTTACTTCTTATAGAAATTAATTTTTTTTGAGTTCCTCGCACGTACTGGTGGTGATCGCAACACGTGTAACCAGCCATGCTAGTCGACATGCTTCGTCCCGTGTCCCATGCTCATAACCAAGAATATTAATTGACTTCACGCGTGCGCGTGCAACGGCAGCACGCGCGATGCAACTCAACGAGCATCATTATCACCAGCCGAGACGAATCAGTTTAACGTGAATCGGTTCTTCCTGTAATTCCTTCAGGCGCAGATGCCTGGGCGTACGGCTTCTGTTTACGAGCGTTGAATCCTCGCCGTCGACTAATCGCCCGGTACTGTCTTTTCTCCCCTTCGATCGCGTGCTTAAATACACCTAATCACGAACTCGAGTCTATTTACGCGATTCCTCGCGAGTCGATTGATGCCTCCGAGGAGATAAATCGCGGTACTATATCCGTGATGCAAGAGAAATTAGATCGGCGCGATGAATGTTGAGTGTAGTTAGCGAGAAATCGTGATATAATCGAGCAGAGGATGATACTACACATCTAAATAAGATGTGAAAATAATTTCGGCAGTGTTTCACTTTCAATTTTGGCAATTATTTATTCTACCGTATACTTTTCATTGATTTCATTTATTTCGAACACGTACAATACTGTGCACAAGTATTTGGATACTTCTAAATTATTGCAATGTGAAATACAATTCAACGTGAATCTTTTCAATTCAATCTTAATATGTATCGTTGGAAAGAATAATTAATATCGAAGACTCTGCACAGTGACTTTAAAATCTTTCTCATATTGTTCAAATTTTAAGGCAATTGAAATAATTGAAAAAAGCTTTCAGTGAAATTGAAAATGGAATTTTGATAGACGTCCAATTATTAGTGTATGTTTCATCTTAGTTTCCAAGAGTTTTAGAAAAAATATTTTTGTCACTCTGTATATCGAAAGAATGAACATTTCGTTCGAGCCAAATTGAACTCAGATTTTAAAATCAAAGCAAGGAATTTGAGAAATGTTGGTTTGAAATTCAACGAAAGATTGAGAAGTTTCACACTATAAAAATAATAAAAATATGAAAAAAAAGGAGAAAAACAAACTAAAAGAAGAAAGAATGGGGAAAGTACCGTTGGAGGGAATCCCAGATGATTATAACTTGTTTACGTGCAATGATAGAAAGCGTAAACGCGCGACATACGTTTCATTGGTCGGAAGGATCTCAAGGCTCTTCTGTTCCCTCGAGAACCGGCCGTACATTCACGCGTGACGGGTTAATGAACTTCGTCCATTTAGAGATTTACATGATTTTACGAGACAGTTGCCTCCATCTACGTAAACGCTTGAACATCTGTCGATCGTAGCGAGGAATATCGATTTCACTCGAATCATTCTTTCCTTACTCTCTTGAAAGAATCGCGCCAACATTACAGAGATATTTCAAAGTATTCGCGCAGGATTCTGGTAATATTCGTCCAAGCATTTCGTCAAGTCTGTTGGAAAGAAGCGAAAGAAAAGGGAAAGAGGAGAATGAAACACGGATTCTCCTGCCGGTCCAATGTGAAAGAGTTTTTACTTTCTCTCGAAGATTCGTCGACCGTTCACCCTTGGTAAAAAAAAAAAAAAAAAAAAAAAGAAAA